AAAGACAGTGAAAATCGCGTCACCCGAAAGTTTACAAGCTTCTTTTATCATTTTGTTAGATATTTTATCATCGCCCGAAGCCTTGTTTAGCGGCAAGGATCTAACGATACCGAGAAATTCGTCTGAAGATGGTAAATCAGACATTGGAGACAGTGGTGGTTCGATGGCCCACTGCCTGATCTGTTGGTGATGATCAGTGTCGTTCTCCGGCCGATCGTCAGGTACGAGTGAGTCTAAAAGATATTCTGCTGTTTGTTCTACTCCTGTGGTATATCTGTTATTAATTTTGATGTTCTGTATGTATGCAAGGTCGATTGATCTATTTGCCTTAAATTCGTGATACAAAGGTGACCACGGGCCCTCTCTATCGAGTTTATCAACAAGTTTCTGAATTAAGTTTCCCTTGGATTTTTCCACAGCAGCTCTGTAGTGGGACCTGGCAACTCTAAGAGCAATGAGAGCATTGTTGTACAAATCTCCTGTTACGTTATGTTTTTTAATAGTGTTTAATTTTCTACGAGCTTTCCGGTAGCTTCTACGTAGTTCGGCTAATCTATCATTCCACCAATCACATCTACGAGTGTTAGTGATAGATCCGCGACCAATAGTTACATCAGCGCAGTATGTAAAAGTTTCTGATAGTATTTCTGCGCTTTCCTCAGCTGATAAACTACTGCGACTGAAGTCTTTGGTATGAGTTGCAAAGAGTTGCAAACAAAGCCCAGTTCGCACCTTTAGTTTTATATCTGAAATTATAGGGAGCCCTTTGTGGATCCTGTGCAACCCTTGGTATGAATTCGTACACGATCAAGCGGTGATCACTACAGGATGCGTCCGGAAGGACACGCCATCCGGATATCGAGACGTCGCCGCGCGTAAGCGTCACGTCAATAGAAGACTCACCCATTGGGTTGCAAAAAGTTGGTGGTGCATCGGGGGTATTGTGAATAATAAGATTCATTTCCGCAATGAAATCTTCAACCGCACAACGTCGAACCGTGTCGGTTGAACGCAACTTGCTATACCATAATGAAGATGACGCATTGACTTCAGCGCCAATGATAATTTTATGTCCCACGAGGAACTGCAAGACGTAACGTAAGTGATGTAAGTGAGGATCAATAGGATGTGAATATTGAAAATAGCAGCTCACTACGTAAACCTTACAGGTAGAGGATGAGATCTCAGCAACGGCGCAGTGTGACGTCATAAGATTACGCAAAGATGTTACCGTAAAATTAGAACTTGCAACATATATCCCAGCCTGCGAACGGCAGTCAAGCTGTACTACATTACGACGCAAGCGCGAGCGCTCTGATATTGTTCTTGTAAAAGGACAGTACAGTGTCTTGCTCAAAAACCGAATTGGGCGTCCGACAGATCGGGGCCAACCTCGTAAAGGTGGCGGATGATGAGCGACCGAATCGGCAGGCCGTCCCGGCTTTCTTAACAAGACCAGCTTCCCGCTCTTCCAGCACTTAGGGAAACGTCAAACACCTCCCTGAGACGGATTGCGTATACAGGGCTATGCCTATGCTATATACCTACATTGGCGGACGATCGGCCATAATGGCGCGCAATCGGAATGTTTTTGGTTTTTTGGGCACACTTCAAAGAAGTCCTGGCCTGTCCTGTTTACACACTCGCCCATTGTTTTGTTCGTCACCGACAGTATAGCACATTTTTACTTCACACTGTAGTAGATTAAAATATAATACTTAATATAACATTCAGGGGTAGGTAGGTATTGGTTTCATATATATATTTAAAGATACATCCATAAACTCACTTAATTAACGTAAAAACAATATGTCATAGGTTTAAATATTAGTATCTTACCAATATTATAAAAGCGACAGTTTGTATGGACGTTTGTTACTCTTCCACGCAAAAACGGCTGAACGGATCTGGATGAAATTTGTTACAGAAATAGATTAGTGTGGAATAGGCATAAATATTTTTATCCTGAAAAATGTAGTGTTCCCTTGGGATGTACAACAACAACAACGGGTAACACCGCGGGGCGCAGCTAGTAATTAATAAAATATGTTCTTCAACTATTAGTTTTCTATGGTATTTTTAAAAGGGCAGCCTTTTATTGATAACCAATGTTTTGATGTTTTCTATTGTCGGTCAAAGTATAAAGTATTAGGGAAACTGTCTGTTTATCTATTATTGCTTTCTTTCTTTCTCTTCTCAATTTATTAAAAATATCTAGATTTAAATTTTTCACACACTTTTACAAACAATAACTTAACTTAATAAATCCTTGTCACACTAGAACATCGGTTAGGTTAGGTTAGACCCGGCGGTAAGACCCGTTATGAAGGATTGGCTCGAGAGGCATCACGGACCCTCTCATACGGGTTGACGTAGGTGATCACCGGGAAAGGATGCTTCGGAGATCACTTGTGTCTTATCCGCCAGGAGCCAACGCCTGAGTGCCACCTTTGCGATGGCCGGACCGTAGACACGGCGCTCCACACGCAGGCAGAATGCCCGGCGTGGGTGGAGCAGAGGCGTTGCCTCGTGGCGGCCATCGGAGTAGCAATTCTCTCGCTCGGTAACATGATTGCCGCCATGGTACGGATCGAGAGTTCGTGAAACTCCGCCGTCTCCTTCTGCGAGCAAGTTATGCTTGCAAAGGAGATGGCGGAACGGGACCGGGAGAGGTTTAGAACTCTCTAGATCCGAGGGAATTTCAAGTACAAGCTCTGCTTAGTTTGGAATTTGATGGCGTTGTGTCAGATGTCCGAAAATTATATTATTTAAAATTGATTTTGGAAACCAAAGATTTCGATTTTCCCTAATATCATAGATACGGATCATTGAATTGAATTATTGTATTTTTTTGCGAAGAAAAAAGAATTATGTTAACATATTCAGTGCCACTGACCGCCCTGCGAGTTTAAGGTAATTTTATGCCAGTGACGGTTACGGGACGTAGCGAGGTCAGTGTTTTGGTAATATGTATTTCCAAATAGGCCTCAGGAATTAGACGATTTATAATGGCAAATGGAAATATTTCTTAACAGACAACGATACGCAAAAATACCTCGTATTTACCATTAAAGAATAAACCTCTGATCCTCCCAAATAGGATCAACAGAACATTGTTTGCCGGGCATTCTACTGGCGTGTGAAGTGTCGTGTCCGAGCTCCGTACATCGCAGTGGTGACAACCAGGCGTTGGTTCTTAACGGATCAGACACAGGTTATCTCCAAAGCATCCTTTGCCTCAACCGGTATAAGAGGGTCCCGTGTTTCCTCTCGAGCTTATCCTCCTTAATGAGACTTAACGCCGCAATAACGCCGTGCCAGGATTAAGGATGCGGTTCCACTGACGCACAGCTGGGCGGAGTGGAACCGCGGAATTCTGACGATATTTCGCTAATTAACTAACTTGTTTCGGCTTGAAAAGTATAGTCCGGTACCTCTTAGATTAGATGTACTATAAGTATTTAAAAAGTAATTCGTAGTCAAAATATATAAAATAGATAAAATATTAAGACAATTGATATAAGATGAATAAATACAAGCATATTCTACTTTTCATCTATGAGAACGAGTCCATATTGAGGTTCGTAAATGTAATGTTATCAATTAAAAATCATTTCAATATTTCATACATCTTTATATTAAAAGGCGGCTTAAATAACTACAGAAAACAAACAAGTTTACTTACATCTAAGTCAATAATGTATCTTAATAGTTTTTAACTGTAATTATATTTAATTACGAAATAAAAACATTTTACCTATCCTATATACATAGTGCAGTATTTTAAAATATTTACAATAAAAATTATGAATTATATTGAATCGTCAGTCTAGTTTATGTTATAATCGTGAGAATTTACTAATTTGGACATGTTAACAATAATAGTTTTACAGCAGCGGCTCACTAGGTACGGCATCATTACCTAGACAACAACAGTGTAAAGTCAAATAACATTATGGCGACTATTGTTTGCTTGCTATTATATAAAAAAAAAAAACAAGAAAAAAGCACATACTATTAGTACTTTATAACAATTATTTAGTTGAGTGCTTTCATTGAGTAATTTTAATGTCAGAACTAAATATTAAAACAAAAAAGAAACATTTCAAGAAAACAAGTGTCTGTAGATGTAGTATATCACACTATTATCATATAATTATTTTATAATATTTTATAATTTAGAATAAAAAGATGATAATGATAGGAAAGTAAATAGTATCTAAATAAATAGGAATGATGCAGGCAGCTAAGATTTTGTAATTTGTATTGTAAAGTTATCATTAAACTGTTCTTCTTCAGAATGTTCTATGATTCTTTTTTCGAACATTTCTAGTCTTCAAATTTAATGGAGTGTACACCAGTATCAATCGCACCGCCCCGATATGAACCGCGCTTTTTCTTCGTCTTTTCGTGCTTGAATGACTTGCCACGTGTGTGCTTTAAGTCTTGATTAGCACGCTCACCCCATGAACCACGTGCACCAAACTGCAAACACATAAACAACTAATTTTTTTCAATGTTATCAGAGAAATACTTTTAATAAATAGAAACCATATTATGAAATAAAATATTGCCATGATTCTTGCAATTTTTGTGTAGAATTAGTCTGAAACCCCTTAATCAAGGGTTTAGAAAAATAAATTAGAAATCATTGCAATTTACTTGGAAATTGATCACTTGTTTTGAATTATGACCTAGAATAAGGAAAGAAAAAATATTTGGTTCATTTCTTGTCACAATATTTTTTAAAAAATTAAAATAAAGATACAATAAAATATAACTGCACCCTTTTCTAACATGTATTCACAAAAAAATGAGTCCATTTTTCGTGAATACATGTTAGAAATGGTTATAGTGACTTTTTAAAACATGTAAATATTATGTGTTCATAACCTAGTTTATTATTTTATTTTAATAAGTACCTGAAAACTCAGGTTCTTATTAAAATAAATTTGGTAATGTCTATATAAAGGCAATTACAAACAGAATTTCTCACCTAATTAGTCAAATACAATTTTCTTATTCTGAGCATTATCTCCTCCTTCAAAACTCTTTCTATCATTGAAACCTCCTTTGTTAAATCCGCCCCTGTCCCCACCCCAAGAGTGGCGATCACCACGGCCTCTACGATCACCTCCGCGGCCTCCTCGGTCAAATCCACCCCTACCTCCCCTGTCAAAACCACCCCGGCCGCCCCTTCCTCCCCTGTCAAAGCCCCCCCTGCCTCCCCTTCCACCGAAACCACCTCGACCTCCTCTATCCCCAAAGCCACCCCGACCTCTGTCCCCAAATCCACCCCGACCTCTGTCCCCAAATCCACCCCGTCCCCTAAACCCTCCTCGGCCCCCTCTATCGTTAAATCCTCGGCCTCGATTAAAACCGCCGCGATTAGCCCAATTTCCAGACTGTTGGTCTTCATTTTCATTGTTTTCTCCGTCCTCTTGGTTTTCACCTTCCTGATAGAGACAGACGATAAACTTAATTAAAAATACCAAGGCAACCCTATGTGATCACCACACAATTGCTTAAAAGTAAATGCCCGAAATTTTAAAGCAAGCCAATGGGCTGTCTTTTCTCAAAAATCCCAACTTTGGCATTGCATAGAGTTGCCTTGGCTTCTCAAACTTTAGGGCATTTACCTTAGCATCAAAGGAATTATCCTTAAGTCTAGGATCCACTTCTATGGTTTGTGAGGCTACTCGGCGAAACGGAGCTGGTTTACCGTCTGACCCATTTGGTGTTGATACACAGTTTGTACCCTAAAAGTCATTATAGAGAAAATGTAGTTGATATGATTTCATCACATGCAGTTCTTAGAGAAGCCTAGTTAGAACTAAAATTCGTTGAACCATTATTTCCGATTTTAGTTATCAATTACTTCTTTTATGTTGTATATTTTATGCTTAGAAAAATATACAAGACATATTGATAACAAAATTGGCACTAACCAGCCAACTCAACTATCAATAAACAGGTAACAATATTATTCATTACTGTCATGGAAGAAAAAACCTATAGAAATCGATTTTGTTTAAGTTTGTCTATTGTCAAAAGGTGAAGCCTTTTGACTAGTTACAAATCCATTGCTTGTCTTTGGGTTACAGGCCACCATTAAGTTGCAGGAGAATGAACCTTTGTTTCTTAAACATGTAGCTATATCACAATACATAGACTCAGCCATCACTGCGATATGTTAATGTAGTTTTAGTGATGTTATAGTATATCATTATCATAAATCCTAACATAACAAAGAACTGCTGAAGCTGTTAAAATAACACCCATCAAATTTAGAAGTAACATTATGTCCTTAGAGCTGAAAATTATTTTCATGAAGTTTATTTTACTAAAATAAATAATAGCTTTGTTAATTATACTCGTAACTGCAAATGGACATGCTTATACGAAGACTGGAACCTTTGGTGTAAAAAGTGTACCAGTCAAAAACTAAATAGCATTTTTCTCAATTTTGTGTCACTGTGGATTGGAAAGTTTTTGTATAACTATATCCAAATAAAAATGTCTAAATACATATTAAAAATACTGCACAAACCTTTACAAAATTGTTGTATGGCTTTTTAGCGGGTGCACCAGAGTCTCCACCTGAAGCCTTCCTCTTTTTACCAGTTTGGAAACCATTCTCCTGAAAAAAAAAAGAGTAAATACCTTTTATATGTTGTTGACATTAATAATAACTAATTATAACAATAATAACTTCACACACATGGCCGCCTGATTCCAAACTAGGCAGAGCCTGCGCTAACCAGACTGCTGAAAAACATACTTATATATTTCTAAATACATACATGTTATAGATAAATAACTTAACATTCTTGGTTAACTGTTATTCAACTTTGTTATAATTACTAAAATTAATTGTACACATATTTACCTCATCAATACTCTTCTTTGCTACTTTTGCTGGTGGAGCATCATCATCATCGCTATCTGAATCTTCTTCTGAAGATGCAGCTTTTTTGGCTGTACTATTTTTTTGTATAGGTTTTTTGGGTGCTTCCTCTTCACTGGAATCATCATCATCAGATGACTCTTGTTTTTTAGCTGTTGGTTTTGACTTCTGAGGCGTCTTTATTGCAGGTTTAGCAGGCTCATCATCACTATCATCAGATGCTGATTCTTTTGCTGGCACTTTGGCAGGGGTTTTCACTGCAACTTTCTGAGCTGTTTTGGGCTTTTCATCTTCACTACTATCATCACTGTCAGAAGAAGACTCTTTCTTAGATGCAGCCTTTGTTGCTGGCTTGGCAGGTGGTGGTACTGGTTTCTGAAGGGCTTTCTGGGGCACCTTTTGATCCTCATCATCACTACTATCTTCACTGTCATCTGAGGATTCTTCTTTCTTGGCAGGGAGACCTTTTGGTTTGCTTTGAGGGGTTTGTGGTTTAGTAGTTACTTTTGGCTTTGGTTTAGAATCTTCATCACTACTATCATCCGATGATGATGATTCTTGTTTTTTAGCTGGTGTAGATTTAGTTAAAGGTTTAGTAGGTTGTACCTTTGCAGGAGTAGCCTTCAGTTGAACATTAGATTTTTCATTTTCGCTATCATCTGAAGATGACTCTTGTTTTTTAGTTTGTGGAACTTTAGCAGGTGTCTTGATTGGTGTTGGCAAAGGCTTTTTTTGAGTAGGCTTATCATCTTCGCTCTCATCGCTATCATCTGATGAAGATTCCTGTTTTTTGGTTACAGCTGCCTTTGGTTGAGGCTTTGCAGGTGTAGTTGGTTTTACTGCAGGCTTAGGTTTCTCTTCCTCACTGTCATCACTGTCATCAGAAGACTCTTGTTTTTTAGGTGTTACAGTCACCTTGGCTGGTGTAGGCTTAGCAGCTGGTTTCTTGGTTTTATCATCATCACTACTATCACTATCAGATGACGATTCAGCTTTTTTAGGAGTTGATTTAGGTGTACCTGCACCAGATTTAGCTACTGGCTTTTGAGTGGGCTGTTTTTGTTGGACTTTTGGTTTTTCTTCCTCATCACTGCTATCATCAGAAGAAGACTCTTGTTTTTTGACATTCTTGGGAGCTACAATACTTGGCTTAATAGGCTGTTTCTTGGGCTGAGATGTGGCATTATCTTCACTGCTATCACTATCATCTGAAGATTCTGCTTTTTTAGCTGGAGTAACTGCAGTTTTTGGTTTAATCTGAAATAATATTATATTTTACAATAGTGTTCCTAGAGCAGTTAAAGTGAATTTAATTATAATATATTCAGAGGTAGTGACGAATAATTTACATTAATATCATGGTGACTCAATATAAATGTCTCATCATAATAGTCAAAATAAAAAGAATTCTATAAAAAATATAAATTATTATTACAGCTGTCTGTGGCTTTTCATCTTCTGAACTGTCTGAATCAGATGAATCTTGTGTTTTTTTCTTAACAGCAGGAGATTTTCCATTAACTTGGGCTACAGGCTTTTTGGGTTGTGGTTTATCCTCACTCGAGTCATCATCCGAACTGAAAAGTTATGGAAACTGTAACATTTTATTCATATTTTTTCAAAACTGAAACAAATCCTTTAAAATAGAGAAAGTGTGAATTAGAGTATGTGAAGTGCATGGGTCTTCACATTCCTAAAATTCATCCCCATAAATAAGTTTGTCACATTATTACATGAATGAGTTTTTATAACAATAAATCTATACTAATATTATAAAGCTGAAGAGTTTGTTTGTTTGTTTGTTTGAACGCGCTAATCTCAGGAACTACTGGTCCGATTTGAAAAATTCTTTCAGTGTTAGATAGTCCATTTATCGAGGAAAGCTATAGGCTATATATCATCACGCTAAGACCAATAGGAGCGGAGCACCAATGAAGAATGTTTCAAAAACGGCGAAAATTTATTACTATTGAGAGACGCAGACGAAGTTGCGCGGGTCAGCTAGTAAATAATAATCTCACACATGGCTGTCTAACCCCAAACTAGGCAGAGCATGTACAATGGTAACATAATTGCTGATCAACATATTTATATAATATAAATTTATAATTATCTCTAAATACATACATATTTTATATACACCCAGACAAAGAACAAATGATCATGCTCATCACACAATTGTATGTGCTGGGTGGGAATCGAACTCACCATCTCCAGCTCAGCAGTCAGGGTCATTACCACTAGATCAACCACCATACCAAAATAATAGTATTAATCTACATGTCAATTATTTCAGAACAAAGTTATTGTTAGTTTCATAACCTAATGAAATAGTAATTCACACATGGAATACAGGTTGGATACAGATAAAAAGCAAAATTTAGAAATTATAGGTACCTTTCAGCAGCAGCTTTTCCCGAGCGTTTAAGTTTCACGTGTTCTTGAACTATATCTGTGAGTGTCGCAAGGCCTTTGACACGAGGTTTCTAAAATCAGTAGGAGGTTATTTTATAAAATAACTATTCATTGAAAATAAACATTATTTTAAGGTTACATTGAACAAATAATTACGATTTCAAGAAGTCTAAGTCGCACGATAAATATAGTCAGTTACACAGATGATGTTATTAAAACATTATAGGTATTGCTATTAACTTAATTTGGACGACGGACATAACTATGAAATTATAATTAAAATGTGATTTTAATGCTGCAAATTCATACTTCACTACAAACGTAAAAAAAATTGTTAAATATCACGGCACTATATAAAACAATTAAGACGATAAAATGAACACGTGTGGTGGCCGGTCCACACGTGGTTAGACGGTGTTAGCGAGTACTTACCGCTTTAGTTTTCTCCAGAAACTTTTGTGCCAGAGGTTTGTCAATATTCAGCAAAAATTGATGAACTAAAGAAATAGTTAACGTTTTAATATCTGCGTCCCCCATTTTTTCAACTTCTATATTTTTAATAGCACAGCAACGCAATGTGACGCTGCCGCTTGTCACACTCCACAGATCACTAATGAATGACTCTAACTAATGAGTAGTGAGTAGAGAGCTGAGAGTTCAATCAGCTCAACTTCGCTCAATGCCTCAACCATAGATAAGACGCTGTAAAGGCCTCAATTCAATAAGGAAGGAATGAAGTAATGAACAAATCCAACCAACCAATCATAGATGACACCAATGTCATTTATACTCTATGGAAGGAACAAAATTTTATTTCTGCAAACTGCAATAACTAATAGGTCTTTACCCATGAAATTGCCGTTTTGTATGCAATAAGTGAAAGTACTTATTTTTTCAAACTTTTTTATTTCTGTTATTCGAAGTAATCACCCATGCAATCGACGCATCTTTGCCAACGCATTGGCAGTTTATTGATGCCCTTCTTGTAAAAATCAACTGGACGGGAGGCAACAAAGTCTTCAAAGGCATTTTGTACTGCCTCTCGGGAATTGAATTTTTTACCCACTAAAAAGTTGTCTAAATTTTTGAAAAAGTAATAGTCGGTAGGTGCAAGGTCTGGTGAGTATGGCGGATGAGGGAGAGCTTCCAACCCCAGCTCTTGCAGCTTGGAGACTGTCTGTTGCGCAGTATAAGTTTCGTAAAAACAATCGGTATTATGCTGCCCGTACCCAACGCCTTTCCGTGCCCTTCAGCAGGCCATCAGACCACCTTGTGGGCGGCGGAAATTGCAACGTCGTTTCTCTTTAATAGCTACCCTCGATTTGACTGACTAACCTGTTACTGCCCGTTCCTGGTTGAGATAATCGATTGTTAGTAACAAAAACAGTTATTTTTACAGAATCAGCAATTCTATAGTCATCGTCTACTGCTGAATATAGGTTTTCACCAAGATTTTCCACAATAACCCACGCCTACCCACGCTCCGTCTACCGTCTACCAGGCTCCTATATTATTTAAATAAAAACCAGTGAGTCTTACAGTACTCGCCTCCGATGTGTACATTAACACCTGACATTTAGCAGTTCACGGGCTCATTGCTAAATCAAATAGTGCTCACTTCTCCGGCTTCCTGGTATACATTTTCGTTCTTTTTCACTAAACCATTCCCAGAGATAGCTGAAACCGAGAGCGATAATATTAAATTTCAAAAAGGAAAAGGAAACCATCAAAATCCAATACTAAATATGAAGACATTTTGTTAGTTCATTATCAAGATAACACCAATTGTAATAACATATTTAGTTTAGTATTATTAATGACAATCGGATATAACATTTGGTTTAAATAACGACAACACTGGGTAGACATTTTTAATTTATGATTATGTAATATATACATCGTTTTTTCTATTTAATCTGTACCTTATTATATTTATGTGATGGTGATGACAAGTAGTGATAACTTTGGGTTGATTGTTGTAATCTTGTGGTTTTGTTACTTTCCCTGCTAATATATTTTAGTTTTATATAGTAATGAAGGAATGTGTTTTCTAAATAATACACAGCCTCTTTAATTGAATATGAATTTCAATGCTATTTATCAATAGTTAGCACATACTACATAACGATGTGAGGTGACATGTTTTTTAAGTTTGCTTTGTCGATGTCCAATGTGAACACGAAGAAAATATTGGAAATGTTATGTAGGCTCAATTGAGCATTTAAATTATAACAGATCACTATGCCTGTCCAGCAAATTCATGTGAAAAACTCGTCTGATATTGAAAGTTGGGAATGGGGTGGTGGATGTGGTCGCGAGGTGATGCGGACAGGATCTGGAAGTAGTAGAACATCATGTAGCAATTCAAGTGGAGATATTTGCCGCATTTGTCATTGCGAAAGTGAACCACATAACCCTCTACTGGCACCATGTTATTGTTCAGGTTAGTGAAAATATTAACATGATTTCAATGTTGAAACTATGTCTGTCTGTTTTAATACACAGCTGTTTTTTATTGCCAAGTTTTGTATAAAGTTTTTAGTATGCAGTCTTATTATTGTTTAATATGTTAGTAATTAAATATACTTCTAACAATTAGAAATTATAGCATTTGCTCAATGTTCAGTAAATGCTGATATTGTGAGAATAGAGGTTTTGCACTATTAAATGTTTACAGTAATTTGTTCTGTGTTGTTGTCTCTGAATAGTTTTATATAACATAGTAAGCATTGACATCTAAATATATGTGCTAAAAATATATATACATTAAAATGATTGGGAATCACATCACCAACAGCAGTGTAGTTGGATATATATTATGTAAATGTATTACAATATTAATGTTTTTTAACATTTATGTAGAAAATTAGCTCCGTAGTTGGATCACATGTTGCTTTTATCTGTGTTTGTGAGAATGTAGTATTGCACCACACCATTACGAAGTCCACTCTTGAAATTATTTTATAGTTTTCATTTAAAGCTCAGATTGCGTTATATTGTAACCTACCTATTTGCTACACAATCTCTGTGTAAGTAAGTATAAAAAAAATGATAAAGAAATAATAGCTTTTATTAAGTGATTCATCTATTTCTTCCTCCAAGCCTTTTGCCCAAACTTGGTTGGGGTCAGCTTTAAGTCTACTACAATATGGCTGAACTTTGATTTTTTACATGGACTGCAACTGCCATCAGACCTCCCAAGTACTAGGCGATATTGAAGTTCTGTAGGAAGCTGTTTGTATGTAGCAGCTCTAGCAGCTATGAAGTGATTGGATTTTTTTTACTAAAATGTGTTTTTACACAGTTTAAAATATAATTTTTATTAAATATAGGTAGTTATTCTGTATGAAATTTTCTTTTATTATGATTTTCTCATGTAAGGTGTACCATTGTTGTGTTAGGAGTACCATTTTGAATGACCAGCCATCATATTAACATTCCAGTATTCCTAATATCTCTTCTCCATGATTTCTCTTTCTTCCTTGCTTTTCAGTAAAATTGTGTAGAGGGTTGCGATGGTAGTGAAGCTTAATACTCATGTTGCATCTTAGCCGCTGAACGTGCTGAATTTAGCTATTCAAAAAAATTCTACCTTTGCACAGTTCTTGATAGCTGTGATATGGTTGATAAACTTTTTAACATCTATCAACTTGATTGTGCTCTTTGTCTTTTCTTTACTGTTCCGAAGACGTACATGATTGCAGCAGTACTGGTTTGCTGATAGTATTATTCCAGACTGGTCTTATAGTAGATTTTAAGTTGGAAAATATCCACTTTGAGCAATTTTTATGGTACATTCCTATGATTATTATTGTAATACAAAAATAAGAAAATCATCATGATTGGATGGTGATGACTTTTTAATTTATTTAAGTCACCACGCCTGTTTAGACCTTGGGTGTGGTAAGAATTGTCCTAGGCAGCAAACTACACAGGACGATAGCACTTCAAAGAGAAGAGAAACTTGAAACAAAGTCTATACCAACCTGTCTGGCCAGTGTGGTATAGTAGGACAAAACATCCTTTCTAAGCAGAGGCTTGTGTCCATCAATGTCCAGCCAGTAGACTACTAAAGGCTGTTGATGATGATGATGATTTAAAAAGGTTCTGTATTGTTTGCCCTTTATCGCATAAACTCAACATATTTCTTACACACCTAACTAGGAAATCACGGCTTGGCAATGGAAAATTAAAGCCTCAAAAATGTCTCGTTTAAAAGGGATTTTTTTAATATATATATTCTGAACAAACAAGAAAAAGTTAAAAACTTAGGAATCCATATGGATAGGTACCTATCCTGGGGCCCTCAGATTAGAGAAGTTAGCCGCAAACTATTAGCTGCGAGGTTATGGAACTTCCTTCCCACCAATACGTTTGCCCAATAAAATTGCGCTCGCACAATCTCGTTCTTCTTCCCATCCTTGACTATGGCGATGTCAGCTATCTGGCTTTCACTGAAAACTAACTGAATAAACTTGAGCGACTCCAAAACTTCTGTTTAAGATTCATATATGTATTACGCAAATATGATCACATCTCAAAATATTGTTCTAAACTCAAGTGTGCCGCACCAATATGCTTTCGCCGGAATCTTCATATTCTTTCTCTTTTAAACAGTGTTCTGTTTCTTCCCCACACACCCTCTTATCTCAAACTTTTAGACTGTATATATACAGTCTCATATAAATATATATATACCCGCGACTTCGTTCGCTTGGAATTTGAAAAGCGCTGCCTTAGTGGGTTCGATTCCCGGACCGGGCAAAATTTCAAAAGGGTTTTTCTGAGAGGGAAAATAACCTAAGTTACTCCTTATATAGACAGCTACCTGGTAGTAAAATACTATCAAAATCGGTCCAGCTGTTTAGAAGATTTCCCGGAACTGATAGACAGACAGACAAAAATGAAATTAACTGGTTTTTAGGCATAGGTATTGTGCAAATAACCGTGTGAGCACATGACTTACAAACAGACACTTTAATTTTATTTATTTGTAGAGATACACATACAGATATATATATAAATATATACATAAATATGGGTGTGTGTATGTAAGTGTATTTATATATCTGTAAAGTGAATAAATATATATTAACGTGATAATGTGTTACGTATATGTAAACTACCCAATTTTTTTAATAACTAATATCCGTATTAAGGTTGTCTGTAAGAGATCGCCGTGAGCGATAAGACCGCCGCTTGTTACGTCTGCATATTTGTAACTAATCTTTATATAATATATGTAACTGTATAAATGTATACAATAAAGATATAAATAATTTCTCGCGATGGAGCGTGCGACTCTTGGAGTAGATATAATTAGAAACGACACAATTCGACAGAGAACTGAAAACACCGATATCGCACGGAGAATCAGTACGCTAAAGCGGAAGTCGGCCGGTCATGTCTCCAGGCGGACTGACGGTTGCTGGAGCCGACAGGTGCTAGAGTGGGGACCGCGATCAGGCAAACGTAGTGTAGGACGCCCTTGAGGCTGACATAAAGCTGACATAGACCAATATTAGTTATTGTGCATCGGGCTTGGCACCGACTTCAAATACCTAGTACTATGTTAACGAGAACTATGTGAGTGCAGTATAGGGTCTGGATTGGCCTATTGAAGAAAGGACCATAGTATTGTGAGCAGCATCAATCCCAAGCAAATTTGTCTTCTAAATAATCTGTAACCGTGTAGTAAGCATTTTCACATAGTTTTTGTTCAACTAATGACTTGAATTTGTTAATAATTAATTCATGAAATTTTCTCTCCCATTTTACCTGGGCCTCAATTCTGCTATTTTATGTTTACGCCAAGCCACTGTCATACCACTGACACGCTATTGAGATGCCATCGAGGGCCATTGGCATCGGTATAAATATCGGTAGTTGAAAATATATTACGTTTTTTGAGGAAATTATTTATTTATTTTTATTATAATAAATTATTAAAAGAAATAAATAAATTAAAATAAATTATTAAAAAAATATAAAAAAAGAAATAAATAAATTATTTAATAAAACAATAATAATAAAAAACCTTATAATTTCTTTTCTCAAAAACGTATCTAATATATTTTAAAATTTATTTATTTCTTTTTTTGATTTTTTAAATTAATAATTGTTTTTTTGATTGTTTATATTAATAATTTATTTAATTGTTCTTTTTTTTTTAATTATATTTTAATTTAATAATTTGTTATAATAAAAAAAAAACACCACTAAATTTTTATATAAATATTGAGATACGACTGTCATAATAACAATTTCTTTAAACTTATCCCTCAGTGATGATATCAATCGGTTGTTTCTGAGTTCACCTGCGGTGGCCTAAGTGAGTTCACCAGTATGGCCGGACCGTGGATACGGCCCTCCACACGTTGGCAGAATGCCCGGCGTGGGTGGAGCAGAGGCGTGACCTCGTGGTGGCCATCGGAGTGGGGGAGTAAGAGTGCGTGGAGCTCCGCAGTCTCCTTCTGCGAGCAAGTTATGCTTGCGAAGGAGATGGCGGAGCAGGACCGCCAGGCCCGGGAACGGGCCAGGTACCGCAGACGACTCGGGCGCCAGTATGACCTCCGTCCTCCTTAAGCGCAGGCCTGGGAGTCCGACATAATCACCTACCGGTGGGTGATATCCGAGGGGATTTCCACACAGGAAAAAAAAGGGTCGCGTATAATATTTTTTTACTTAGATTTGTAACTATTGTTTAATTTTTTGTGCTATTTGTCAGTCAGCACTTTAAAAAAAAAGGATTTATTGTAATTTGTACTTGAGTTAACTGTCGCCATAGAACAAAACTTATAAATAAGGTTTGATTATCTCCAGTTTTTAAGCAAAATAGCGTCCAATTAACTACTACTAATTTCCAGGGGCGTGCGCTCCTTGTAGGCAGAAATGCAGTGCTTTACTTGCTATTCACAGACATTTTAATAAAACGTTGGTACGTTTTAGATAACTTTAATTAATAGTAAATAAATGAACAAAACAAAATATAATAACTTAAAAACGCGTACTATTTACAAATAGCATAGCACCACACAAACATTGTTTGCCAGGTGTTTACCGAAAAGCAAGCGCAAAGCAACTCATGCCGTCGCCTCGCGCAGGACATTTGTTCGCATGTGTGTAGTAATTTTGGTGTCCGTACACAGTTCGCATACGCACACACCCATTTATTTTATATGCCCGACTACAGCCGCAGGATACTGCAGTTGGCCTTCGGGTTCCCGCGCTAATCGTTGTCGTCAGTATTCGGGTATAACCGGCAGTGTTCGTTGCCTATAAATCCACCCAATTGCAATAGTCAGAAATATAATGAATCATGTATGCGGATTATGAATTTTGAATATGGTAAGGTTTTATTTGTTTAATTAGCAGATATGTTTCTTGTTCGCGGCGGCCATATTGATTTTTTCATGTGATAAGCATTGTTTACTATTTTCTTTT